TAAGCCCCCTGAAGTTCCAACCATACGTCCGAATCGACTATCAGATTCACGTGGGGGGGCGGACACGTGACATAAAACTACTGGCACGGCTAACATGGCTCTGGCAACCCATTAAACATAGAGACGCGCTTAAAAAGTAAACGTTTAGGGCCGCTGCCCGGGGGTGATCGCCGGGGCGCACCTGGAGCTGACGCTGGGTGTGGCAGCATACGAACCGTCGGCGGAGAGGAGTTGAGTAGGCGGGCTCCCTCCGGGTCACTCGAAAATGATACAGCCAACCTGAATTCTGACCAACAGACTGACGACGTAGACATTATTAGCTTACCATGTTCCTCAATTGAAGAACCTTATAGCCCATCAACTTTGTCATATACTCCATCAGAAGTTTCTACTAGAACCCCAACACCTATAATCACACCTGCCTTAGATGTTGCGCAGGGGGTGAATACCCTTTTACCTGCGTCCACTAAGACTGGTAAACCACGCGTACGCATGAGATGGACAGAATATGTAAACATATTCATCATGCGTACCTATTACCGTATTACTAAATTAGAAACAGATATGACCATATATAGAAAACTATTACATGAACACTTTTTAAGACAGTATCCACACGTTATAGTTTCAGAACAACGAGTTTCAGACCAAAGACGAGTTATCATCAGAAATAGAATGCTTACTAATGAAAAATTGGAGCAAATTAAAGAAGAAGTTAGGTTAGAATTAGAACAAGAAGATATCTCTCCGCAAACACATCCATCACCTATTGAGCCACAAAGAATTAATAGTAGAGATCCAACTTTGCAACGAACAGTAGTAACAAATACACAATCATCCTACAACTACCTAAATGCAACTGAATTTGCCACATACGAAACACAAACACCACTTAGTACTCGTGTATCAACACAAACTGAAAATACGATGCTATTAATGGAAACAGAAATAGAAACCGTACAGTGTAATGCCCTCCCAGATTCATAAACAGAAAAACTTAAAGAACATTTACAAACAGCCATAATTGAATTTTCGGGTTTAGACCCTACCCTCAGGCCTCGACTCCCTAAACTGAAATATAGCTTGCATCTTGCCAAATTAACTAATATTTTTAATGATACCTTACTGTACGAGTTTTGTTCTGATGACTCACAACTAACCGATGTTCATACACTTATATATTGTAGTGCCCTAGTAATATCACGAGAGCTTGGATATAACACCGAACCACAACCTAGACCTCAACGCATTAATAAAAAACCAGCCTGGCAAGAGAGATTGGAAAGAGATATAATGCAACTTAGATCCAATATCGGTAGACTAACACAATATATAAACAACAATAGGTCAAAAAAGATAGTGGATACGGTGAACAAAATTATATCTAATAATGGATACACAGTAGTAATGAAAATAGTAATAAAAGACCTGAAGACGTTCTGGACACATTAAAACAAAAGTTAGCACTAAAATCGCATAGACTAGCCAGATATAAAAAAGCACTTCAACGAAAAAACGACAATAAACTTTTCCATACTAATGAAAAAATATTTTATAGAAATCTAAATACAAATAAAGAAAACCTGGCAAGCAGTAATACAGAAATCTCAGCAGTACAAGATATAGAAGAATTCTGGGCAGGTATTTGGGAAACAGAGGTAAACCATAACACGGCAACACCATGGATAAATGAGGAAGAAAGAAAGTGGGAAGGCATAGAGGAAATGCAATTCAAAGAGATAACAGAATCTGATATAAAATTTGTCACAAGCAGGTTAAATAAGTGGAAATCAGCTGGAGTAGATAAGATACACAATTACTGGTATAAAAAATTCACTACTCTTCACAAAATCATAGCAAAAAATTTTACTAGCATTATTCACGGACAACAAAGCACACCGCCATTCATAGCTAAAGGTATAACATACATGCTACCTAAAGGCAAATACACATCACAACCATCACAATACAGACCCATAACTTGCTTACCTACAATATACAAAATTCTCATATCAGCTATAACCCAAAAACTTACTACTCACATAGAACAGCACAATATCCTTGACGAGGAACAAAAGGGGTGTAGAAGAGGCCATATGGGATGTAAGGAGCAACTTATTATCGACTCTCTAATTCATAGACACGCAACTACCAATAAAAGAAATTTACACTGTACATATATAGATTACAAAAAAAGCCTTTGATAGCATTCCACATTCCTGGTTATTGTACATTTTAAAAATATACAAAATCAGCCCTGTTATAATAGAATTTTTAAAAAACATAATGCCCTTCTGGAAAACCACAATTCACCTAAACAAAATCACTAGTAGAGAAATAGTAATAAAAAAAGGTATATATCAAGGTGACTCCCTAAGTCCTCTATGGTTTTGTCTCGCCCTAAACCCTATATCACAGATACTGCAGAATTGCAAGGCCGGATACCGATTAAAGTATGGTAACGCTGAAACTTGTGTATCACATTTAATTTACATGGATGACATAAAGCTCTATTCAAAAACAGCAAAAGAAATGAAATCACTAATAGACGCTACAGCAAAATTTAGCAGAGATATAAGCATGCAATTTGGGTTAGATAAATGCAAAACTATTCACATAGTAAAGGGAAAGATCCTGCCAGGCAATTACACAGTAAGTTGTGATGAGACAATTACAGCTATGGAACCAAATGAGTTGTATAAATACTTAGGATACCAGCAATCAAAAGGAATAGACCATAATAAATTAAAAACATCTTTAAAAGAAGAGTATAAGCATAGGGTACGTATTGTGAGTAAAAGTAATTTATCAGGCAAAAACTTAATAAAAGCAATAAACACTTATGCGATACCTATATTAACCTACTCCTTTGGAATCATAAAATGGACTAAAACAGACATCAATAACATACAAATAGCAACAAGAACTATTCTCACTAAACACAATTGTCTACACCCAAAATCTGCCATAGAAAGAGTGACAGTCAAAAGACAGCATGGAGGAAGGGGCCTTATCGACATATTTACCCTATGGAACACACAAATATCAAAATTACGGTCATTTTTCTTCGAAAAAGCTAACAGTAGTCAAATCCATAAAGCAATAGTTAGTAATGATCTGAACCACACACCACTAAAACTAACCCAAGAGACAGAAATAGGTAACATAGAAAATAACTCTGAAATCTGTAAAATAGAACAATGGAAAAAGAAAGCACTACATGGCCGACATCCCCAAGACCTTGAACAACCGCATATAGACAAGTTAGCATCAAACAAATGGCTCACTCTTGGATCCCTATTCCCGGAAACTGAAGGATTCATCATAGCAATCCAAGATCAAATCATCAACACTAAAAACTATAAAAAACATATTATCAAAGATCCTACAGCAACAGACGATAGGTGTAGAAAATGTCACAACCAAGCAGAAACAATTCAACATATCACTGGAGCATGCACTAATCTTGCACAAACAAACTACACACATAGACACAATCAAATTGCAACTATCATTCATCAAAGACTAGCACTGAAACACGAACTCATCCCGGACACACGTACACCATATTACAAACATATCCCTAAAGCAGTTTTGGAAAACAACACTCATAAAGTATACTATGACCGTGCAATACTAACCGATAGAACGATACATTACAACTGCCCCGATATAACCGTCAAAGATAAAATAAATAAAACTACTTACCTGATCGATATAGATGTTCCAAATACTCACAACCTACAAAAAACAATAGCAGAAAAAATACACAAATATGCAGACCTTAAGGATGAAGTTTTAAGAATCTGGAAACAAGAAAAAGTATACATTGTCCCTATAGTATTGTCCACGACCGGTATTATACGGAAACATATACATCATAGTTTAAAACTCATTGATCTGAAACCCAATACCTACATGATTCTTCAAAAAGCTGCTATACTAAACACTTGCAGAATCGTAAGAAAATTTCTGCAAATATATGAACAAATACACAATGCAATAGACGAATAGACATAATAAACTTCACCCAAGAACCCGTGGCATTTACTTGACTTTGTCCGTAAATGTCACAAAATACTACCAGCGAAAGCTGAGAAAGAACAAATTTAACATAATAATAATAATAATAATAAGAGCCTCGACCAGTCCTAACCACCGATATCTTGGTCTCTGTACCCGATACCGATGGGATACTATTTTTTATATTTTTAAATGTATTTTATTTTTTGTTTTTGTATATAAATATATTTAAAAATGTAATTTATATGTATAAAGAATGAAATAAAGAAATAATAATAAATCTCTTTATTGTACACCAGGTATAAAATATATAAAGATTAACTTAAGCTAGGTTAGACAGGTAGAAATACAAATATTCGTTCATTAAATTTTGATGGAGTTTAGAAGTTTGGTGTTAGACTATGACCATTTTTTAAAGTTTTCAAGAGACTTATGCGATTTATGAGACTTTGGTTAATGAAAAAATATTTGTCTTTCTGTCTGTATATCATGCATTCTAATTATATTATTTCGTAGTTATTGATCACAATTAAAAACATATTTAGTTACCTGCGTATAGTTTTCGATAGTATTACTAATACGCGGGTACTACTATTTGTTTCAGATATGCCTCGCAAATATAAAAAAGTCAGAACAAAACATATAAAAATATGATGAAAATTATATTACAACTGCTCTCCGAGAATATGAAACCAAAAAAACGTCCTTTGCTAGCATAGCGAATGAATATAATATTCCAAAATCTGTTCTACAAAGACACTATACTCGAATTATGAAGAAACCGGGTATACAAACAGTTTTGAGTAGAAATATAGAAGAGTTTATTATTAAATATTTAAATGTTTCAAACATTTCCATAGCGTGGATAGCCCCATTCACTACAAACATTATGTTTGTAGTGAATGGGGCTATCCACGCTATTAGTAAAAGGCTTTCTAGACAGATGAGATATACAGGTCAAAAGATTTAATAACAATATGCCAGGCCCTGATTTTGTTGCTGGCTTCTTAAGAAGACATCAAGATAAAATATCGGTCAGAATAAGTCAAAATATAAAAAGATCTAGAGCATCTGTATCTCCTGAAATCATTGAATCATATTTCGATGAACTTATGATATCTTTAGAAGGCGTGCCATTTGCCAACATAATAAACTATGATGAAACGAATTTATCAGATGACCCAGGCAAGAGAAAAGTCATAACCAAAAGAGGTGTCAAATACCCGGAAAGGGTTATGAACCACAGTAATCGTCCACGTCATTAATGGTAGCGGCAGCCGCAGACGGCAGTTTACCGCCTTGTTACGTAGTATACAAAGCACAGTATTTGTATGACACCTGGACCGAACATGGTCCTGAACATTGCAGGTACAACAGAACGAGTTCAGGTTGGTTTGACGCTATAACCTTCGAAGACTGGGTTCACACAGTAGCTATGCCGTACTTTGATAAAAAAGAAGGAAAAAAAATTTTAATCGGTGATAACCTTTCCAGCCATTTATCAATTGATTTAATTCGAAAGTGTAAAACAAAAGATATTCATTTCGTTTTTTTGCCCGCAAACTCCACGCATATAACCAAACCGCTCGATGTGGCGTTTTTTAGGCCTACCAAAGTTGTGGTGCGGGATATTCTATTTAATTGGAAGAAAACAGAAGGACGTAATTAGTACGTAGTAGTATTAGGACGTAGTAATTTGAATGTATTTTTTGGACGGTTGGAAATGCTTTTAAAGTTGTTTTGTGGTAAGCGCAATAAAAATGTTATTATTGCCGGTGACTACAACAGCAATGTCTTAGACAATAATAGTACTGTTAGGGAATTCGAATGTTTACTATCGCAATATGGCTTGAAACTAGCTGTACGAGAACCTACTAGGCTAAAAAGTAAAACCTGTCTAAATAATTTTCTACATAATTTTCGAAAGTAAAATTCTAGTCTTAGAATTAGCGTTATCCGACCACACGGCACAAATAATAGAATGCCCTATTTAAATCCAAGGCGAAATTAAATGTTGGCGTATAAAAAGACGAAAATATAATTTAGAAAATATTAACAAATTTAGGTCATGCCTTAGCAGTTGTTACGTTGTAACAAAGTAAATACACAAACTTACAAAATAAATAAATAAAGGAAAAAAGATCATTACACACAGACAAACAAAATTCCAATTATATTCGAGTATTTGTGTTTTATTTGTGCCCGCCGACAGGCGGCCGGAACACAGTCTATCATTTGTTGATGTATAGTTAACCGATGACCCAAATGTAGCCTACAACACGTTTATGGATACAACCGTACACCTTTGATCAGCAAATAAATAAATTATGAATATGAATTACGAATTATGTTGGTTCGAATATTGTTATAACAAGATTTGTACGAGTCACGGAGGAGCAATTCCTTGGTGCGATTAAGTACATTGACTCCGTTTAGAATGTTTTCTGTTGGACGACTAGCTCGTAGCCAGGTGGTACCCGCTTGAGGGCTTGCGAAAGATCTCTTTTGTGCGCGTACAAATTTATAACAGTCGTCCCTCTTGTAAACGTGGAGATGGTGCTTTGTTTCGTCGCGTACGTTTCTTCCTCGTAAACGAAGCGCATAAGCTTTTTTGCTTGCGATTTGTTTGAGCGCGCTAGTAGAGCGTTGATAACGGGTTCTGATACAAAAAGCGTCTCTGGATGCCAGTTTGGTGGTGTTTCAAGATGGACCGTGAACGGGCCCAACTTGTTCCATGGACGTTTCCATTGATCTGGAACAATTCTATAAGCTTTTTTAACATTCTCACAGGCCAAGAGAAAAGCAAAACTCCAGCACGCCCAACATTTGAAGTCACTGCCCTCGTCGCCGAGTTTAGCCAACGGAAAATTGAAACGTTGCAAAGTTATGATACTCTCTCAAACTACAGCATTTTTTCTATTTTACAGGTGAAAAGGTTGCCAAAGAAAGCACCTGAACGAATAATCTGTTCACATAAAAATGAACATCTAAAAAGTTCAAGATTAACAATGACTGATATTATGAATTTTCAGTTCGTTTTATTCCTCAAATAAACGGAGTGAACAAGATACTTTGATACTGAAGTGCTGTAAAACGCAGAAGGTAAAAAGAAGGCGTCCTACCAATAGCATAAGATTGGGTAGAGATTTTAATATAAAGTATAGCGTTTTCAGAGCTTGCAATGATTGTGTTTCTGTTTGCCAAAAAGCGTTCCTGAATATACTTGGCATAACAAAATATTGTGTAGAGTATGCTTTGAAATTTTTTTTTTATACAGGGGAGATTGCCAGAGAACGAAGAGGGCGTAATCGTAAGATATATAAAAAAGATCAGAAGGAGTCCATTCTACATTATAAAGAATTTTCCAATAGGTACTCGACAACTTTGAACTTAATTTGTGAACGCACTATTCAGTAAACTCAACATTTTCATCATGGTAAAGTACACGAACGAACAACATATGCAAATTATAAAAATATACTACCTAAATTCGGAGTCGGTGACCGCAACTTTAAGAGCGTTAACTCCAATTTTCGGTCGTTATTCTCACCATAGTATACAAGCAATAACAAGTTTAGTGCAAAAATTTTAAACGACATATTCATTGTGTGATGCTTCCGACTTATTTTTTATTATTTAGAACTGTTTTTTTTTAAGATACTTTTAGATGTCATATTCAAATATATCATATAAATAAATCAACATAATTAATATTGCCAAAGAAAATAGTGAAAATATGTCATTTTTTGGTCTTTAAAACCATAAACAATCATACTACCGCCATATTTTTAATACGACGATATTATAACCTTCTCCTTTGATTGCCAAAAAAACAGTCACTACCTCGAATTCCAGACCAAAGTGCTTACTACAGTCGCCAATTTTACTTATATAATTTCACTATTGTGCAGGGATCATCTGCAGACAAGCTTAATAAGAACACAACCTTTGCATACACATGGACAGAAAACGAATTTGGTAAAACAGCTAATCAAATAGCATCAGCCGTCTATGATCGATTAAATAAAACGAATTTATCAGGGATCACTATCATACGCTTATTTGCCGACGGATGTAGTGGGCAAAACAAAAATAGCATAATGCTAACTATGCTATCTAAATGGTTATTGGCAAATGTCTCTGTCAAACGTATTGAAATAATATTTCCCGTGACAGGACATAGTTTTATGTCCCCGGTCAGAGTCTTCATCAATATAGAAAAAGTTCTAAAGAAACGAGAAGTAAGTGGCATGATTATGAGACCTCACAGGAGAAAGATGAGCGACAGTGTATTTGAGCAAATTATTTTAGTTCTTAATTTAAGTAAGTTATCAAAGTAAATTTACTAGCCTGTTAGCTGGCTGAAATAAATACAATAATACTACAATAATACTTTTTAACAAAAGAGAAATAGTTTAAAACTAAAAGTATTTTATTTTAATAAAGCATTTTGTAAATACGTATTTTGCATTTAGTATTTTAAATATAAAATGAAAAACTATTTTGTATTTGCCATTGAGTAGAAACGGTAATTTATAACTTCTTGTTCGTTTACCGAAGTAGTTCGTGATCTTCGGAACGACAAGTTTTCTCTTTTTGGCTACACGGGTTGAGTACATATGTTCACGTTGGATGGTGTGCTCTTGGTTATTATATTATGTAACCAAAATTTTTAACTTGAGTATAAGGTGGACCGGAAGTAACTTACAAATTTTAAATAATTTACATTAATCTTTTTCATTCATTTTTAAGTCATTTTAGCAACCTTATCTGCAAATTGTATATTATATTCTGTGTAGGAAATGTAAGTTCATATGCATCCAAACCGTACCCAATGCTTGCATCAGCCAAGGCATGAAATAACGCATACATTAATATTCTACCGATAACATATTTTCCGCCTCGTGTGCCGGCCGCGCACTGAGGTCCGGATTTGAAAAATAGTGGACTTAGACATAAAAATCGTTAAACTGGCTTGAAAAGAAATCTGTAGGACAGAAAATACAGTTTAGAGCAATATTTGTTGGGTGCATTTTCAGTGTAACATGGTAAAAAATATATATTTATGAAACAAAATTGAAATTGTCAACGCGTGGACACGGTGCTGCCGCGGGGGAAGAGCGCGACGACTACCGACGGCGGCTGAGCCGCCGACACTCTGCTTCGGCCGCCGTTCGATATGTACGCTTTGTGACTCGGCACCTATGTACTATTGTTAGTTCAGAATTATACTAGTTGTACATTAAACTTCAAGAAGTTGTTTGAATATCAGCCCGAACAGAAATAATAACTTTTCTCTTTATGTTCAAAAGTGTTAGACATGAAACCTTATGTGAATTATTTTATTTTATATATTATTTTACAACATAAATAAATCTTTTGCATAAACTTGCCGTTTATAAGCGGTTGAACTTCTAAAATTTCAAGGTTAATTATTTCATGAAATTAGTAATCTTTTCGTTTTGTAGTTTTATAGAATAACGTAATTGTACAAAGGTTTAATTTCATACACATTAAAATGTCAATTTGATGATGATTATTTACTCTGTTCTTTTTTTTTTTTTTTTTCTTTTCATTTAATTTGGAAAAATCTTAATTTAAGTTCTTCTGTTGTTCAAAGCACGGTTACTGACAGAATTGCGCATTGAACAACTTTAGCATTCACTTCCTAATGTTTTCCTCTCTTTTACTTCCTAATGTTGCCTTCTCATTCGCTCCTTGGTCATACTCGACGCAGATTGGTTGAATATGCTCCTTGTGACTCATGCTACTTGAGCACTTATGAATAATATAAAATGTACGAGAGGTCTGCGCGCATTCTCCTTCGGATTCGCTACGCGCTCGCCGAGATAGAACGTTTCCACACACCACTCGCTGGCCGCACGGATCGAACATTACCTAGAAGACTCGGCCACCGGCCGTTTTGATCGCGGCTGCACGCGCGTCCCCGGGGTTTAGTCGAATAGAAAGTCAGTGCTAATATAATAGCGGGTCGACCGCTGCCCTTCGGGTTTTTAGCAGAGAATTCTGATTTTTTATTCGACTACCCTCCGTACTTCGTGTCGCCTGAAAAACCACCACTGTGACCAAAGGCTGGCCGTGCGTTCCTAGGAACGCCAGCCATGCCGAGGCCCACCACCAGCCCTACAAAGGGCAACCAACCACCAACATCGCGAGGCGCAAATGTCCCCCGCGCTCCGCTGGCTCGAGCGCCGCCCGCGCTCGCTAGCGTTGAGCGCGCGGGTACACATCGCGCTCCCGCGCCGCTAACGGAAGCACCTGCGCGTCGACCACGCCAGATGGCCCCCCTTCCCACCTCCCGCGCATCATACCGCGAGGAAAGAAGGTCGGAGTCTGCCTCCAGTGACTGCTCCGCGACGCGCACACCGGCGCGTCATGTAGGAGCCGCTCCGCCGCGTCACTCGGCCATGGAATCGCCGGCCCCTAGGACACTGTGCTCCTCCCCCTCCATAGAATCTCTTCACTCTGCGGGGGGCTCACAGGAGGATACCCCCCGCTCGCCTCCGCTTTCACCTACACGCGCCCTATCACCGCACAAAACGGTGAAACGTACCGTGCACCACCCCGCTGGAGCACAAGCTATGGACACGGACGCCCCACCGCCCCCAAACTCTGCACGCCGACAGCGCAGCCCAGAGGAAGAGGAGGACGCTGACCATACAAAGCGCCACTGCCCAGCCCCCCGCGCGCGGTCCCCGCTATCTCAGCGCGACCCGCGGGTGGCTAGAAGGCAGGAACAGGACGAGGGAAGGCAAGTGGTCACCTACGCGGGGGCCGTGCTGTCCCCGCCGCCCGTCACCGCTACTGCAACAAGCACCGTGACACCTGCCGCCGCCGCTACGAACACAACGGCACAGGAGCCGAAGCGCCGCTACCCACCGATCGTTGTGGAGCACCTGCCGAACTGGGCTACCCATATGCGGGAGCTGAAGCAAAGACTCGGCAGGGCGGCAAACGCCCGCCCATACGGAAGGGGCATTAGATTCACACCAAAAGAAGACCACGAATACCGACTCGTCCAGCGGTACCTGACGGCGCTGGAGAAGAGCGAGGGTGTATCGTGGTTCACCTACTCCCTACCGGAGGAGCGTAGTTTAAAGGTGGCCATACGTGGGCTACCAAGTAACGCTACGCCGGAAGAGGTGGAGCAAGAACTAAGAGACTTGGGCTACGACCCCGAATACGTTAGAAATATTCGGGGTCGCGGCGACCGACCAGGGTGCATCCTCCTGGCCATACTAAAAAGGACCCCAAACATCACGCCGGGGATTTACGAAGTAGATGAGATGTTAGGTATCCCCGGCGTAAAAATAGAAGCCTGGCGGGGAAAGAAGCGACCTGCACAGTGCCACCGCTGCCAAAAGTTCAGGCACTCAAGCCACCAGTGCCACAGAAGGCAGGCTTGCGTGCGATGCGGCGGTGAGCACCCCGCAGCCGACTGCCCGCGGCCACGAGAGGAGCCCGCCACCTGCGCCAACTGCGGGGGGGAGCACCCCGCAAACAACACACACTGCCCCGTCTTCCAACGCGAGCTGCGTAACAAGAAGGCGGGGACGGTCGCCGTCACCGGTGAGTCGCGCCAGGGGCCAACACCGGTGAATGCACAGCCCACAGGGGAGAAGGCACAAGGGGAATCGCTCATGGCGGCAGCGAACCCCCCTCCGCCCCGAGGAACCTCCACCTCTTCTAAAAGAGGGCGAAGAAAGAGGGGTGGAAAGAAAGGCAAGCCACACACCGCCCCCGCAAACGATACCAGAGCCGACCTTACCGCGGAGAAGTCGTCCGCCGGTCAGCCCACCTTACATCAAACCACCGCCACTGCCCCCCTCCTCCAAGTGAGGGCGACGGAGAGGGCGACTGGGAAAAACGCCGGCACCCATAGGCGGACGGCGGTTACAAATACAGAAGACAAAAAGGCCGAAATACAGGCCGTTATAATGTGCATTATGCAGGTGGTGTTAGCAGCGATCAACACCGATCAAGACGCGACCACCATCCTGCATAACACCCTCAAGGGTATAGCCGATTTGCTATCTAAGCAACATGGCTGATAGGCCCTTGAGGGTGGTACATTGGAACGCCCGCGGCCTCGCAAAAAAGGTCGTGCTACTTCGCCCTCTACTGCAGGAACAAGACATCGACGTGGCGCTTATAAGCGAGACGCTCCTGGGACCTGCAGACAAACCGAAATTCCCGGGATACCTCGTTTATCGGAGGGACGAGAGATCGACCAACAACGCTGCCTACCGTGGTCTGGCAGTACTAGTCAAAAGGAAGATCGTACACCAACCACTTCCAACAACAGCCTACAACTCCATATCCACGCTGGGAGTGGAGCTGTACATGGGCGGCGCACGACAACAACTGTACGCCGCATACAGACCCCCAGGTGACAAGCCAGACTTCACCGACGTGTACACACTACTACAGGCGGGGCACCCGGTGATAGTCGTAGTACGAGATCCGACTGCAGAATTAGTGTACTCATCGAATGTTTGCTAAAAATCAAATTTTTAGGCATATTTATGATTAGAAAAATATATATCTACCAAGGTGCCAATAAAAATGTGGCCGCTACTATTTTTAATTAAATTATTGCAAATTGATTTTTCGGAAAAAAATTCATTCGCTGGTTTTTTAAATAAAATATCGTCCACTTTACGGCAATATACATGGAAACTGTGGAAAATCACCGTTGCCGTTGCGCACTTGGCCGCACCTCTTCGCAGCCAGGTGTAAACAGGTATGATTTTGATACGTTTATACGTTCATAACGTACATTTATTGTTTATATATCAAATTAAAGCTAATTTTTTTCTGCTTATTATGATATACGGTTACTTAATTAAATTTGCCCGCAAATAAGGGTTACTGCATATTAAAGATGGTAAATATTTAAGATAGAGTGAAAGAGAGCTAGCGCGTAACATCATTAGTCAGACGAGGATAGTGACTGCCAGCTGGACGACACTTTAAAGCCGTTGCGCATGCGTCGAATGCTAGTGTTCTCAACTGAACAGCTGCGAACATTTCATTCTAACATAAAAACCACGCTGTTTTGGAGTTCGTAATACAAAACGTTATATCTATTGTTGTTTAATTTTGTGCATCTAAAAATTATCAAATTAATTAACATAAAATAAAATCGATAAAGATGAAGGCGTGTTTTCTGTGTGACAAAAAATTCAATGTACTTGACTTTAATAATACATCATTCAAAAAGTGTTTACTAATGTTATTGTTTCGTCGTAAGAAAAAATATAAATATCATGACATTTTATTGACAGTTGAATCTACTGATGATTTTGGATATCATTCAGAGTGTCTAAAAAAAATTACAGTTCTGAAGCAAAAAGATAAAGAAGAATTCGAAGATTTTTGCAAAACACAAGCTGTAAGTAAAATTTCAATTGAACTTAAGAATAATATAGGTTATAGTTACGATATAAAAAATACAGTGCTAACTTTGAGGTTTTTTGTTAATTGTTTTTTTTTTAATTTCTTATTTTCATAGGAAATCGTAGTAACACAGTACCCTCTACGAATTCCTAAGATATTACATTTCTCACACAGGTAGAATTTTTCAGGTAGTCGGATCTTTTTGAACCTTCTTTCAAACAAACTATAAAATCATTCAGCAATATAATGTGGAGAAATAAATACTATTACCGACTTTCTTTGTTAACAATGCGTTATTTCTTTTCGAAAAAAATATATAATTGCCAATAATAGCAAAATAAAAAAAAAATTACATATTTATATTCTTTTAGATCGACTTGATATTTTCGTTTAATTATATCAAATACAATGAAAACATTGTTATTGAATGACAATGGAATATGTAACTGTACCTCCGTATTTCTTATAATTTACAGATCCCGAGCCTCCCTTCAGGTCTTCATGAACAAACTATTCCTGCTGTAAACTGTGATCTAGTAAGTATATACAGCAGTAATAATATTAATCAGATTTCAAAAAAACATTTCGAGAACCAAGCTTTTAATAAAAATTGTCTTTCAACGCATACATTTACTTTGCAGGAAGAATCAAGGGCTACATTAAACGATCAACCGACTACACTTTCAGTAGACGAACAGCTTAGTACGACTGCTTTAAACGAGCAGCCTAGTACATCTGCGCAGGAGGATGATCATTCTCAGTGCATTCAAAATTTGTCATCTGCTGGTACAATATCCCAGCAAGCTAATTCATCAACAATTATAAATAAAAAGTCAGCCTGCCTTTTTTGTGATCATGTTGAGAAAAAAGTTGGTAAGAGACGAACTTATGTAACATTCCCGCGATCAGAAGCAACGGTTGAAACAATAAAATCAATGGCCGGGAAATCGAATGACTCAAAACTATTAGCGAAACTAGAAAGCCCTCAATCTATTGCTTATCATTCGACTTGTTTGTCATCGTATCAGATTTCACTGAAACGAAAATATGAGGAACATCCAGAGCCAGGATATTGGCACAAAAATCGCCAATTTCACCAGTTAGCATTCAATGCAATTTCGGAAATAATAAAGGCGGAAATTATTGAGAAAAATCGCGTTATGTATCTTACTGATTTGTTATTTCAGTATAAATCATTGCTGTTGGAATTTGCTGAAGGTCAAGTACGCGCTGAAGATTTACAGGAATATCGTGCTGAAAACTTAGAAAATAAAATTATAAAAGCTTTTGGCGATCGAATTACTGTAGAGTCATCCATGGGGACACCAAAAAGGAAAATTGTCTATCAGTATGACATGAACACGTCACGATTAGTTAGTGAAATAGCTAAGTTAGAATCAAATGAGAAGAATCGATGCAGAGATGTCGCTTACGAATTGCGAAACTGTATAACATCTGTAGAAAGTACGAAGCTGCCAGATAATCTAACTCCAGAAGATATTATTCTCGGAGAGTGTAATATTCCAGAACAACTTTTTAATTTCGTGTGCGACTTAGTACAAGGACCAGATACTCGTCGTAAAAATTCAAGTGACGACTTAGTGAAAATTAAGTCTGTGTGTAGTGATCTGATTTATATTGTATCGAAAGGTAGAGTCAAACCGTCAAAACATCTTACGCTCGGGTTATCAATGAAATCAATGACAAGTTCACGAAAAGTTCTAACGATATTAAATAGATATGGACATACAATAGGGTATAATTTAGCTGAAGAAATTGAAACTGAGATGACGTATAGTTCCCAAAAAGAAAACAATGTAATACCGGCTGGTATTAGCCGAGTTGATGGGCTAAGCACGCACGTAGCTTTCGATAATTTTGACCGTTTCGTCGATACACCCACTGGAAAAGATACTCTGCACGATACAGTCGGTATCATTTATCAGTTTCGCAGTGAAAATGATGACCCTAATAATTTGGACAATTCGGATACTTCTGATTCAGAATCCCTCGGCGCATATTTCCATGAAGGTCACACGGATGAGTCCCTTGCAAGAGCTCGTAAGAGACGGCGTTTTGAAGCACCTCCGAAGGAAATTCGTCCCTTTATCAAGACACCTTTTACAAGTATGACGTTTCTTCCTTTTCAAACAATTACTGAAATAATCGATGCGTGTCACCCAGAAAAATTAATTGCAATTGATAAGGATTTGATTTGGAGTATGTCATTATCTCAAATTAATTCGGTACCCATGTGGTTAGGTTATAACTGCAAAATTGGCATTGATGGGGGAAATGTGTCCCACTCCGCCGAGGGGGATAGCGACATGGAAGCCCACGCCGTCCGCCCATCTGCTCCATCTGCTGCTGAGACACCACGAGCTGTGCCTCTGTCCGCGGAAAGCGAGCCTAAGAGGAGGTCGCTATCCTTCTCTGCGTTTGAGCGGCCTTCGGCTATGGACACGGACGCGCAAACTACAAAAGCCCCCATCCGCCGACCGCGTAGCCCGGAAGAGGACACCGAGGCTAAGCGGTACAAACCCGCCCCCCAACGCGATCCGCGCTTGGCGCGATACGCCGGAGCGGTCGAGGGCAGGTCATACGCCCGTGTGGTGACATCCCCACCACCCACCACAACCGAAATCCCAGCCGCCACTGCAACCAACGCTGCACACCGCAGCGACATAACCGCCGCCGCTACAAGCGCTGCTACTGCCGCCACCGCGACACCGCAGGGGGAGGAACGCAGGCGCAGATACCCGCCCCTCATTGTTGAGCTATTACCGAACTGGGCTCAACACATGAGGGAGCTGAAGAAATAACTCGGCAGGGCCGCGAACGCCCGCCCGTTCGGGAAGGGCCTTCGCTTCACACCGAGGGACGACCAGGAGTACCGCCTGATCCAGCGCTATCTAACGGCGCTGGAAAAGGCAGAGGGAATCACGTACTCGCTGCCGGAAGAACGAAGCCTCAAGGTGGCCATCAGAGGGCTACCCAGTAACGCCACTCCACAAGAGGTCGAGGAGGAACTCAGGGAGTTGGGCTACGACCCGGAGTATGTCCGGAACATCCGGGGTCGCGGCGACCGCCCGGGGTGTATCCTCCTCGCAATCCTAAAGAGGACTGCCACAACAGTGCCGGGGATCTACGACGTCGACGAGATGCTCGGTATCCCCGGTGTTAAAATAGAAGCCTGGAGGAGTAAAAGAAGGCCCGCGCAGTGTCACCGCTGCCAGCAATTCCGGCACAGCAGCCACAACTGCCACAGAAGGTTGGCATGTGTGCGCTGCGGCGGTGACCACCCAGCGTCAAGCTGTCCGCGCCCGCGGGAGGAACCCGCCACCTGCGCGAACTGCGGGGGGGAGCACCCCGCAAATAACGTTAACTGTCCCGCCTTTCAGAGGGAACTGAGGAACAGAAAGGCGGGTACGGTCGCCAAGACCGGCGAGCCACACCAAGGGCCAGCGCCAGTAAACCCGCAACCCACAGGAGAAAGGGGACATGGGGCTTCACTCATGGCGGCTGCAAACGCCCCCACCCAACGCGGCGGAGAAGCTGCCACCGCCTCAAAAAGAGGGCGAAGGAGGAGGAGGAGGGGCAAACAGGGGAAAGCCCAAATAGAAGCCCCCCAACTCCAGATAAGAAAAACCGACCTTGCGGCGGAGCGACCGTCTTCCTCTAGCCGTCCAGTCGCCACCCGAGTTGCCACCGCCGCGCCCACAGGCGCAAAGGTGGTAACAACACATACAAAAGGACAGGCAGCGGTCAAACAAGCGACCAGCGCCGCAAACGACGGCGGGAGGGAGACGGCCACCCCGCTACACAAAAAAGTTGAGAAACTAGAGGCAGTCATCAAAGACGCCCTTCTCATCCTGTGCCAAATCGCTGCTGCCATTGGAGAGAGGCAGGATGAGAGCACCATCAGATGCATTGCCCTCAGAGGTGTCGCGACATTATCAAACAGCATCAATGGATAGCGCACCACTGAGGGTATTACACTGGAACGCCCGCGGCCTAGCTCGCAAGGTCGCACTCCTTCGCCCCCTACTGCAGGAACAGGACATCGACGTGGCGCTGATAAGCGAGACGCACCTGGGACCCGCAGACAAAATAAGATTCCCGGGTTACCTCGTTTATAGGAGGGACGAAACATCGGATAGCAACATCGCCTATCGTGGTCTGGCGGTACTGATATGGAGACGAGTCGTACACCAACCACTCCCATTGAGCACCTATAACACCACCTACACGCTGGGTGTTGAACTACACCTGGGCGGCGCACAACTTCAACTCTACGCCGCCTACAGAGCACCGAGCGCCCGGGCGGACTTCAGCGACGTACTAACATTGTTGCAGGGGGACCGCCCGGTCGTCATCGCGGGCGATTTAAACGCCAAACACCCAGTGTGGAACTCGAACAAATCGAACAGTGCTGGTGTGCGACTACAAAATGATACTGAGTCCCGGGGTTACGTGGTTGCCGGCCCGGAGGTACCCACACACTACCCGGACCTGCAGGCCCACACACCCGACGTGCTGGACATTATTGTCCACAACGGTATATGCCGCCAGATCTCACAGCAAGTCCTTGACGACGAGCTACTGTCTGATCACCAGCCGGTACTCGTCGTCATAGCACAGCAGCCAACGCGGGTCGTTCCTCCCGCGCCACGTCACAAAATTACTTGGGACATTTTCACAGGTACACTGGAGAAAACTACGCCTTCTCGGCCGGTCAACTCCGCGGCCGACGTGGAGAGGCTAGCAGCCGAGCTGACGGACAGCATTAGAGGCGCCCTTGATTCGGCTAAGACGACTATCCCGCTCACCCAGGGGCGATTACCACCCCTGCCGGCTCACCTCAAGGCGATGCTAGCCGACAAGCGGCGCCTCCGACGACAATGGCAGAGCCTACGCTGCCCCACACTCAAGGCCAGATTAAACCGGCTCGCGGAGAGAGTGAAGGCCGAGATGAGCGCCTACACCGCCGAGAGCTGGGAGAGACACATCGAGGACATCAGAGATGATTGGACCTCGATCCATCGCCTATGCCGCCGCTTTACCAACACCCCAGCTCCGGTGCGTCCACTGCTACACGCAGACGGGGCACCCCGATACCGGGCGGGAGACCGAGCGGAGATCTTCGCAGATCACCTGGAGCATCAGTTCAGACCGAACCCAGACACAGAACCCGCGCACACCGCAGCAGTTGAGCCACACCTTCGAGAGTACTTCGCCTCGCCGATAGCTCCCGAAGAAGTCCCCATCTTTTTCTCCCCGGCAATGGTCAAGAGCATCATACGCCGAACCAAGCCGCGAAAGGCCCCGGGCGCAGACGGCATTACCAACAAAGCGCTGCGCCACCTGCAGCACAAAACAGTGGCAGCGTTGGCGCGCCTATACAGCGGCATCCTGCGCACGGGCCACTTCCCCAGCCAATGGAAGGAGGGACGAGTCATTATGCTCCCAAAGCCGGGGAAGAATGTACTGAAGCCGGAGAGCTATCGGCCGATAACTCTATTACCCACCACCTCGAAGGTGTTTGAACAGCTCCTGCTGCGTCACCTCATCCCGCATATCACACCCAGACCGGAGCAATATGGGTTTCGGTCTGAACACAGCACGACTCTGCAATTGTCGAGAGTACTGCACAGGATTACGGCGGCGCGAAATAAGCGCGAGCACGCCGTTGCGGTACTTCTCGACATGGAGAAGGCCTTCGATCGGGTCTGGCACGCCGGTCTCCTCGATAAATTATCTACGACGACGACGCCCCGCCGTGTAGTGGAAGTGGTCTCCTCTTTCCTGACCAACCGGACCTTTCGAGTGGTGGTGGAGGGCGAGATTTCGACCGTCCGCAACATAGCGGCCGGCGTCCCACAGGGAAGCTGCCTATCGCATGTGTTATACTCACGGTTCACAGACGACATCCCCCTCGCAGAGGGCGCCGAACTGGCGCTGTACGCCGACGACGCGGCGTACGTCTCTACGAGTATCCAGCTCCGCCACGCCGCGTCGAAACTACAGCGATCCCTGGATCTCCCGCCCACCTGGCTGTCGAAATGGCGAATCACAGTGAACGTGGGTAAAACACAGGCGATCTGTATAACCAACGCCATTAAGCTCCCACCACCGCTCAAACTACAAGAGCAAGACATCCCATGGTTGACAACTGTAAAATACCTGGGGATAACAATTGACCGCCTTCTCACCATGAAGCCACACGTCCGTAACACTGTCGCGCGTGTCAGGGCAACACGCGCCCTGCTGCGTCCAGTGCTCGACTCCCGCCTACCAACTCGTACCAAACTGGGTGTGTACAAACTCTATGTACGCACCCAGCTCACCTATGCCAGTCCCTCTTGGTACGCCCTCGCCAGCGAGACGAGCCGCCGACGACTGCGCGCGCAACAATCCCTTGCGCTACGCGCCGTCGTGCGGGCACCTCGCTATGTGAGGAACGACGTTATCGAGAGGGACCTCAAGATGGAGAGCCTGGACGCACACGTCCGTCGACTCGCCGCCGCCATGTTCGAGCGTGCCGACGCCTCGGACTGGAGCCATATCCGAGACCTGGCGCCGTGGCACGCTCGACCACCGGATCACAAAAGATTACCCCGCGACCTTGTTGCGGACACACCCTCCAACCTTGCATATATAAAATAATTTTTATTATATGCCCACAGAACCTGCTGTTGCCGCGACCGCCCCCACTGGCCTGCGAGCACTTGCGCCTACTTGGCCCAAGTAGAAGCATCGTGCGCAGGCGGGGACGTCCGCCGCCACAGCAGTTGAAACACAGCGGGGTGCCCCGCAGACCGCGTAACGGTGCGGATCACCCCACACATCCCAGACAAGACACCAAGGGGTTGCAAGTAAGTCGCCGCCTCTGTCGCTGGTCGCTCGGAGCTGGGCCTCCCCAGGTATCGCCTGGGGTCTCACCTGGCTCGGGCTAGACCGCCGAGGCGGCGTGAAGACCGAAGCAACCCCGCCTCACCTGAACAAGACACCTCACTGCCAAAGCACCCCCACGACCTACTCCTATTTAGGAGTAGCGATTGACACCGCTGGCAGGGGGCTACAGCCCCGATCCAGCCACCACGCGTCCTCTACAGGACGATGTGAAGACTCGAGAGAGCGCATTCTCCGGATTCGCTACGCACTCGCCGAGAAAGAACGTCTCCACACACTTCACTCGCTCGCCGCACGGATCAAACATCACCCAGAAGACTCGGCCACCGGCCGTTTTGATCGCGGCTGCACGCGCGTCCCCGGGGTTTAGTCGAATAGAAAATCAGTGCTAATATAATAGCCCGCTATCTCAGCGCGACCCGCGGGTGGCTAGAAGGCAGGAACAGGACGAGGGAAGGCAAGTGGTCACCTACGCGGGGGCCGTGCTGTCCCCGCCGCCCGCCACCGCTACTGCAACAAGCACCGTGACACCTGCCGCCGCCGCTACGAACACAACGGCACAGGAGCCGAAGCGCCGCTACCCACCGATCGTCGTGGAGCACCTGCCGAACTGGGCTACCCATATGCGGGAGCTGAAACAAAGACTCGGCAGGGCGGCAAACGCCGTTACGACCCCGAATACGTTAGAAATATTCGGGGTCGCGGCGACCGACCAGGGTGCATCCTCCTGGCCATATTGAAAAGGACTCCAAACATCACGCCGGGGATATACGAAGTAGATGAGATGTTAGGTATCCCCGGCGTAAAAATAGAAGCCTGGCGGGGAAAGAAGCGACCTGCACAGTGCCACCGCTGTCAAAAGTTCAGGCACTCAAGCCACCAGTGCCACAGAAGGCAGGCTTGCGTGCGA